GCTCAGACAGTGCACGGATAGAGCTTGCATACTCAAAAAGTGCAGCAGGCAGCTGAGATGAACTGCAAGGGCAGGATTAATGGGACTGTAGACTCCACATTTCAGCTGTTTACAGATGAGCAATTAGCATCCTCCACCCAGTAGCACCAGTATCATCTCCTCAGTAGCACTGTGAGGTAATATGAAGAGTTAAAAAAAAAAAAAAAATTTAAAAAAAGCCAAACTAAACCTAAACCTTTTCCCCCCTTTCTTCTATTGTGACATAAAAACGATGTCCTCCCACACTGAGAGTGAATAGTTTGGTCCTCCCTACAAGGCACTGGGAAGGGTGTAGCCTGAAAGCACAGGTGGATCTGGGAGTGTGATTGGTGGTGTGGCTCTCTGCAGTAAAGGCGGGTGTGGAGAGTAGCCTGTTACATAGCTGGGGCTGCTCCATGCAGTGCCTGTGGCAAGCTTGCCAGCACAGTATGGAGAGGATGTCTCCTACTATGGGATCTTCCTACTACTAAAAGCTGGGGCTGCTCCATGCAGTGCCTGTGGCAAGCTTGCCAGCACGGTGTGGAGAGAATGTCTCCTACTATGGGATCTTCATGCTACTAAATCCCTTTCTGGTCTGTCCTAAAACACTAAAGAACAGGTGTATTTTTCATGTTGTTTCTAAAGGTTGTATTCTAATTGGGAGTCAGGATTAATATATAGGGTTGGGTTTTGTGGAGTAATTTCATAGCAATCCCTTAATATGCAAGGCTGAATCTGCTGTGACTTCTAGAAATGGGGTCTGTGAGAGGATCTGGTTCATGCTTAGAAGTTTGTTTAAAACCTGTGCAAATAGCAGTCAGGTTGCCATCAGCTGCTGATGTTGTGGCAATATGTTGAGTCCTGTAGTTGCTAAAAACCACTCTACTGTAATTAAAAGTTAACCTAGAACAGCTTCCTGATAGGCTTTATAAGAAAATTAGCTGTCTTACAGTGAAGCTAGGCTAGCAAATATTATTGTAGAATAACTTTCTGCTTTCTCTCACCCTTGGAAATAAGTTTACTTCTTAAGTCTCGTAAAACATCAGAGAATAAAACACATCACTGCTCTTTATAGTGATGTTTCAAATTCAGATAAAACATTTTCTAACTTGGTTGCAATTATAGTGAATGGTAGGAGAAAAAAAGTGAAGACATTAAATTACACAAAGGTTTAATTCCTTAGTAGCAAGTATACATTTTACTGCTGTTTCTTCAGAAAAGCAAAAAGTAGGTGCACTTTTCTCCTAGCCTAATCAATTACATACACAATTGACTTTTCTCTTTTTCTTGTGTGGTTTTTTTTTGTTTGTTTTCTTTTGCTTTAGGTTTTTTTTGAGCCAAAGTTGTTGCTTTATGCAGTTCACATAGAGTAGTCTGTGTCAGCAGGATGCAAAAATAGGGGTTGAAATGCTGCTACCTCATTACAGATCCCAAGTCAGGAATCAATAGGAAAACATATATAAAAGTTGGTAGTGAGCCACTAAGGCCTAGTTTGTCAGTCTTCATCTGAGAATAAACACTTTACCCAGCACAGAGACAAGTGCTAGCCCTTAGATCTGTAAAGAGAGTAAATCAGTGCTTTTCTTGTTTTCTGCTGACTATGTTATTAGCTGTTCACAGTTTGGTATCGTACTGTAATGAATTACTGTAACAAAAACTTCCAAGACATAAGCTTTTTTCCTGGACACAAATACAGTTTTGTCCAATTTAGGCAAAATATTATTTTTAATTTTCTGTTTCACCTTTTGTCTTAATTATAAGTTAGGTAAGTAATGAAACTTAATGATTCTCTTGATAATTAATTAAAGAATGATAATTTGGGGTATCCTGTGAAAGATGTCTGGAAGGAAAGTTAGAACCTCATTCCCCTGAATGAGAAGATGAGAGATTAATGTACTTCTAATGGTGCAAAGCATGCTGCAATATTATTCTTAGAAATAGCAATGTGTTGAAGCATTTTTGTGACAAGTTTCAGTGTTTCATTACTGTTTTTGATAACCTCCTCTTCTTGCAATAGCATGCATTGGTTGGTCTCCAATCACTTGGTTTAATGCCCACTCTCTGTTTTTTTCTAGAGCAAACAATTTTTCCTGTACCCACCCTGAAGAAAAACTGTAAGGCTCAAGTACAGTGTAGACTATTAGCTCCTTATTTGTTGGTATGCACAGATTGAATCTACTGCTGTTACTTTCTGTCTAGGTGTTGATTGTTTGTTTCCCCATGAAAGCTAATAATTTCTTTTTACTTGCTTTGTTAATGATGCCTACGACTGGACTTGTTATCAATTTAACCTTTGAGCATGGATGGGTTCAAAAATATTATTTCCCCCCCCCTTGTGTCCTAATGTTTTCAGTCTATCTTTATTTAAATAGCTAAACAATGAAATCTTAATTGTCCTCTCAAACATGTGTTAATCTCCTTATTTTACTGATTGCAGACTAGATTCTCCCTTAATGATGTGCATTTGAACATAGGTTATGCTGGGTTGAGTTCACACATGTATTAATCATGTTTTGTTTCCTCTATTTTTTGCTTTTAACTTCCACACCCCGGCACCGCCCCCCTCCCCCCCACCATGCAATGCCCCCTAGTCTTTTTAACATCATGGCTGGTCCAGTGATCCAACAACTTCTAGGAATGAGGCTGGGGGAACAGCTAGATGCTTCCACAGCATTCAGCCTCTTACATGGGGGCACTGTTTAATATGAATCATTACTAGGATGCTGAGGTTAATCTGTCTAGATTTAATCAAAGGCTCCTAAACAGGAGCATAAAGGTTTCTAAAGCATTTACTGTAGCCTTCAGACATGTTATTAATGAATGTTATCCCTCTTGCCTCCCTTTGTGAAGGTGAACAGCTTTTATGTAACATTGATACAACAGATGCTGAAAGAACTAACACTTCATAATCCTGATCATCACAGTGTCAAAGTATATGTATGGATAACACAATCTAAGAAGTACATCTTTTAACAACTGTATTTATAATTTTATTTTTTAAATGGTATTTTGGCAAATATTGCAATTGAAACAGTTTTATTTTTTTTTCTGAGTGTACTATATCTGGTGAGACTTGTCATGCTTGGCTTTAATGCAAAAGGATAAAGGGAATCCCCCCTCCTCATCCACGATAATCCTCTGTAGTTTTTCACTGTTGGTTTTTTCCCTTCCCCCATCTTTATTTCCTTTAATATCTCAATCCTGTTTGACAGAGTGAACAAATGCTCTTTTGTAAAATACTGCTCCCAGTTTTGTATTTGAAAATGCACTATCCTAAAAGGTTTATTTTTTTATACTGGGGAGAAAGCCATGGTGTATGAGACCTTGTGTCCATCCCTTCTCCCTACTTTCTCACTGGGGAAACAAAAAATAGATGAAATACATTTGCTTTGAGTCAGTAACTTCTGTCTTCTGGTTTTCCAAGAATAGCCAAATGCTGCCATTGGCTCACTAACTGTCAGGGAGACAGTGGAGAGTGAGAAATTAATGCAGCCTCTTGAAAATACCAGCCCAAATGCATGCTCATCATGAGTCATGGCTGAGTGCTTGGGTTATTTCACTCCTGCAGTTTTTCTGAGGTAGAGACCCAGAGTCACAGAAGGGGTCAGGTTGGAAGAGACCCATAGTGGGTCATCTGGTCCAATCTCCCTGCTCAATCAGGGACCTCCTAGAGCCCGTGGCAGAGGATTGCATCCAGACATATCTTGAATATCACCTATCAGGGAGCCTCTGCAACCTCTCCGGACAATGTGCTCCAGTGTGTGGTGACCTGCACAGTAAAGAAGTTGTTCCGTGTGTTCCACTGGAACTTCCTGTGCACTGCTGCCTGTTGCCTCTTGTCCTATTGCTTGGTACCTCAGAAGAGCCTGGGTCTTTTCTCTGACACTTTCCCTTCAGGTACTTATGGACAATGATGAAGTCCCCTCTCAGTCATCTCTTCTTGAGGCTGAACATGACCATTTCCCTCAACCTTTCCTTGGCAGATGCTCCAGTCCCCTCATCATCTTTGGAGCCCATAGCATTTGTAGGAATAGGACTCTTGTCCCTTCTAGAGAGCACTGTCTGAACTCCCTCCCTAATCTGTCCCTTTCTAATTAACATGTGACTTTTGGGATGTGAATGTCTTGGGATGTGAAAGCTTGAAAAGCCAGCACTTGATGAGAGCTGATGACCTATAAAAATAGGTGAATATGGAAGTCAAAATTTAAATCTGTGAGAGATTTGTGGTGCACCCATGGCCTGCTGTGTTGTTTTCTCTCTGTAAACCCTAATGGTTCTATCTTTTCAAGTGGTGCAACCTAAAACAAATCCTGTGGTGGAGAGAGACATGCACGCCAGGAGTTTGATGACACTGTATTGAGAGTAAATGGGGGGTGGGCGCAGCTCAAGAAATGGTGAGGTTATTGTCTTGCTGTAGGTTTGGAGCCTTTAAGGTGTATGCTGGACAAATTTCTTCCTGCCCTGCTGCAAGGAGAGGATGCAGCACTTTGCTAGGAGTCAGGGCCTGGGATCAGGGAAAGGAAAGGTTTGAAGGGGAAAGGACCTTGGACCAGGCTCTCTAGGGGTGAGCCCAGAGATGGCATGTCTGAGTCAGGGGCAGCATCCTGGAGTGCCTCTGCACCAATGCCTGCAGCATTTAGGTACAGCTTGGGCACCAGGAAGAGTTTCTTCACAGACAGGACAATTAGACATTGGAATGGGGTGCCCAGGGCCGTGGTGGAGTCACAGCGCCTAGAGGCCTTCAAGGAAAGAATAGATGTGGTAGTGCCATGGTGTGGTTGATGCGGCGGTGTTCGGTCATAGCTTGGACTCGACGATGCCGGAGTGTTTTCTAACCTAATTGACCAACCCCTTTCCGAGGGCTCTCTCCGTGCCCCACACAGCCGCACACGGCGGGACCCCGCGGGCCGCTGGGGGCGGCACCTCCGCGCGGGGCCGGCCCGGGCCGCCA